CAGTTCACACATTGAGTTAGTTTATGGATAAGCCTACTGATGCTCATCTAGCAACTGAAAAGACTCTGAAGTATCTTAAAGTAGCTCCTAGTCGAGGCATTTTGCTTTCTTCCTCTTCTCAATTGCAGCTACAAGTCTATTGTGATTCTGATTGGGCTTCTTGTCCTGATCCATGAAGATCTGTGACTGGTTATTGTGTGTTTCTAGGTAGTTGCTGAGGCAGAGTATAGAGCTATGACTACTACTTGCTTTGAACTTACTTGGTTGCGTTATATTCTAACTAATCTCTAGGTTCCTCATCCTCAAACATCTTCCCTTTTCTGTGACAATCAAACAGTCTTACATATTGCAGCTAATCCTATGTTTCATGAACGTACTAAACAAATAGAGTTGGATTGTCATTTGATTAGGGATAAGATTCAAGANTCCACAGAAGTAGAGCTATGAGACAGAGTTGGATATTGGCTAGTTTAGTTAGTTAGTTAGTTAGATTACTGTTATATTGCTATGTTGTAAGTATTGATTAGTTTGTTAGGAAAGTTAGTTAGTTAGATTGTTAAAGCTTTCATACAAGTGTATATAAGTACTTTTTGTTATAAATGGATTCATTCAATGAGAATAAGAGTACACTTTCAAGTTCTAGATACTCTATTATCTCTTGTCTCTTCTTCATGTTCTACTTCTTTTCTTGTCCAATTATACACTTTCTAACATATGTTTTTTATAAAAAAAAAAACTTGGTTAGAAATACAATGAAAGGAATATAAGAGTGTTACTAGTTAGTTGGTCGCATATGATCATCTTGTCTCACTTTTTATCCTCCCTTGTTGGGGGAATTAATCAATCTCCTCAAGAAATGAAAACAAAAAAATTGTAGTGTACATAAAAAAAATTGTAGTTTTCATATTGCCAACCCCCTAAAAAAAAAAGGGATTTGGAAGCCGGTCCTTAGGCCCAATATGATTTCAAAAAAAACTCACTCATTAATTTTTTTTTGAATTAGCTTCCTGCTGAAAAGTTAAAATAATGGACATAACTAACGTCATTTACAATTGCAAAAAATAACGACAATGACATCACCTAATTTAAACANGATTTGGAAGCCAGTCCTTAGGCCCAATAGGATTTCAAAAAAAACTCACTCATTAATTTTTTTTTTTGAATTAGCTTCCTATTGAAAAGTTAAAATAATGGACATAACTAACGTCATTTACAATTGCAAAAAATAACGACAATGACATCACCTAATTTAAACACTTATTCTAAAAATTTACATCATCATAATACACATTTTTTTCCATAAACACAAATCGTAAGACAAGTACAATAAAAAAAAACAAATATGCCAGTGTGTTGTGTGTGTGTGTGTGTATAAGTAAAATCGTCAGACAGATATACGAAAACACAGATCGTCAAATAGGTACAATAAAAAACATATCGTCAAACAAATACACTAAAACATAAATCGTTAATGCATTTTCTTATCCGTAAACACAGATTGTTAAACAGGTACACTAAAACACAGATTGTCAGACAGGTACAGTAAAATACAGATCGTCAAATATGTATACTAAAACACAAATCGTTAATCTACTTTCTTTTCTATAAATATAGATCATCAAACAGATACATTAAAAAATAGATCTTCATACATTAATATAATGTCCAAATTACTCAGNCCATAAACACAAATCGTAAGACAAGTACACTAAAAACAACAAATATGCCAGTGTGTGTGTGTGTGTATATAAGTAATAATCTTCAGACAGATATACGAAAACACATATCGTCAAATAGGTACAATAAAAAACATATCGTCAAACAAATACACTAAAACATAAATCGTTAATGCATTTTCTTATCCATAAACACAGATTGTTAAACAGGTACACTAAAACACAGATTGTCAGACAGGTACACTAAAATACAGATCGTCAAATATGTATACTAAAACACAAATCGTTAATCTACTTTCTTTTCTATAAATATAGATCATCTAACAGATACATTAAAAAATAGATCTTCATACATTAATATAATGTCCAAATTACTCAGTTAAAGAGTTTGAATTTTAAAACTGAAAACAAAAATTAATTATATTTTAAGCCGAAATCATGTGATGAAAGTAAAATGAATAATGAAAACCAGAAATTAATTAATTCCCTAACATTCACGTCAACATAAATGCATGCAAGTTTTTTTCAAAAATCGAAAGACTTTTTTTATACTAAAAATTTGATAGGACTAAAATTAATTTACACGATGCACACTAACCTAATTAACTAAAGTTTATTCTAACGATGTAGCTCCTCGGCTCTTTCTCTTGAGGCTATTTTAAAGCTGGCCGGTGNTATGCATGCAAGATTTTTTCAAAAATCGAAAGACCTTTTTTATACTAAAAATTTGATAGGAATAAAATTAATTTACACGATGCACACTAACCTAATTAACTAAAGTTTATTCTAACGATGTAGCTCCTCGGCTCTTTCTCTTGAGGCTATTTTAAAGCTGGCCGGTGGATTCTTAGACTTTTGTTTTTTAATCAAATAAATTTTTTTTTTGTGCCTGTTTGCTGACTTCCAACAGTGAACGGCGTATACACGTTTAAATGCGATGAAAGCTATGCCATACCTAGTCGACAACATTGACATCTCAACAAATTATTACATGACTGTTATTAAATCACGACACGTTTTATCCGAATAGTAATGTTAGTGTGATTTAATTTGAAAATTTAATTTTATATAATTATTAGATTAGTTATAAATTTTCATATAAAATAAAACTCATCNGCACGACACGTTTTATCCGAATAGTAATGTTAGTGTGATTTAATTTGAAAAATTAATTTTATATAATTATTAGATTAGTTATAAATTTTCATATAAAATAAAACTCATCTTTAATCCAATAGCCGCATTGAAATAAATTACAAATTAAGTTTTTAAATTAAATTCAAATAACATTTTTTTAATGAATTAAAAAAAAAGTTACTTTTACTACTGGTGGTCTAGAGATAAGTCGTACTTATTTAAGATTATTCTTAACTCTCATGTGATTATCAAATAGGACCCGATTCACCAGAATAGCGCGGTTTACTACTTGGTTTTGGTGGTGCTCTAGTGAAAGATTACCCTTCTGAGTTAGTAGTTATAACTCAAATCAAATATTCTACAGTGGAAGAACCCTCATGGTCACATCTAGGGATTATTACTTATTGGTCGCCTTTCCCCTTTCCACAAAGCAAAAAAAAAATGAAGAAAAAGTTGGAAATAAAATGCTTTAAGCTTCTAGTTGCTGCANGAATAGCGCGGTTTACTACTTGGTTTTGGTGGTGCTCTAGTGAAAGATTATCCTTCTGAGTTAGTAGTTATAACTCAAATCAAATATTCTACAGTGGAAGAACCCTCATGGTCACATCTAGGGGTTATTACTTATTGGTCGCCTTTCCCCTTTCCACAAAGCAAAAAAAAAAAAAATGAAGAAAAAGTTGGAAATAAAATGCTTTAAGCTTCTAGTTGCTGCATTGGCAACGTTGAGGCGGTGTTGGGGTTGGGGAGCTCTGATTATTTTGAGTCTTATTATTGACCATTCTATTGGTGGAGATAAGGTGAATCTGTGCCGAAACGAAGTAGGCAGATGAACTTAAAGACATTAATTTCAAAAAGTGGATATATGTTAACTTTTTGTAAGAGCATTATGTGCAGATCAAACTTCAGCTGCGCCTAACAAGACGACAAAGGGACCAACCCATTGGGCACTTGTGGGACTGTTGTCCACGAAAAACATGAGGCAAAAGCCCTTTAGAAAAAAGGTCACGGACAGCGCGATCTCTTTTTATTTTTATTTTTCAACAAAGAGGGATATCCGGTCCAACTTATATATACTTTAACTAATTTTCTCTCCAATCTGATTAAAAATAGGTCATCTATACTTGGATGAGAGTATTTATGAATAATAAATTTCTCATAATCTGGCNATGAGGCAAAAGCCCTTTAGAAAAAAGGTCACCCCAAACATGAGCCATCTGCCAGAATATATTCTGCACCTAAAATGTTTTTTCGTATAGAGTGAGTCAAGCTCAATAGAGTATTTCCTATAGAGGCTACTACGAGGAGGAATGAAAATGAGTTGATTTACCATACCCAAGAGGAATTCTCTCTTTTTATTTTTATTTTTCAACAAAGAGGGATATCCGGTCCAAGTTATATATACTTTAACTAATTTTCTCTCCAATCTGATTAAAAACAGGTCATCTATACTTGGATGAGAGTATTTATGAATAATAAATTTCTCATAATCTGGCCTCAAAAGATTGTCAAAATTCAAACTCAAGAGATCTGGGTGTACAACTCGCCTCTATAACCAGGATCAAGCTTGTGTTTGCAAACCAAAAAACGAAAATGAAAAAAGATATCTTTTCAAAAATACAGAAAATATGCTAAGCATTCAAAGATTCTGAAGCATAATGACACGATGTACTCTTTAACATCATATACACCACCCTCGTATCAGTGCTATCATTTCTGTTGGGGGAACACTGTTGTAGTTGCAATGGAAAACGTATAGATGTCAGAAACCACAATAGGCACATTTGGTCTGCCCAACAATCAAGGGTTTGCTGCAGGGAGTGCACCAGCCAGACCGACTTCTATTCGCCCCCCAACCCCCCCTTCTCTTCTTCTTTCTCTTCTTAATTCATTCGATTGGAAGGTTCAATGCGTGCAGTATTAAGACAGTTATCTTATCTTTGTAAAATTTTACTAGGAAGGATGCCACCGAAATGAATGGAATGGCACCACCAAGCGAGATCGATACTAGTCCCTTGTATAAGATTCCAAACCTGCACTCACCCCTCCCCCCACCCCCAAAAAAAAAAACGCATGAATAAACGAAACCCTGCCCCCTTTCTCTCGCCAGACTGCTAATAACATTGATAAATTACCACTTGACAAGCACAACACAAATCACAGAACTGTTGCGTCAACCAGTTCCTGCATGCCTGTGCCAACATCGTAATTTTGGATATATCCGCTGCAAGGCCTTCATGTTTCTCGAAATTGAAACAATATCAGAAGGTCAAAAGAAAGTATAAAGGACAGAATCATACATGCCGGATCTGTGGCCACAAGGCTGCATTTTATACTCAATTAACATTCTGCAGAGGCAAAACACACGCTCACCACTGCATGTCCTTGTAAGCCCTCAATCAAAAGGGAACCAGGAACGCCACAAATAATCACTAAAGAAACAAGTTCAATATACGAAGAATGACTCTGGCACTTTTATGGATAAATGACTCTGACCATGCATTATTCACTCATTGCCCAGGTTAAGTGAACCATCCTTCATCAACTTAATGCTCAGACTGTTAAATCTCCCTCTTGAGTAATGTCGAGAAGCTTTTCTCCAATCTGTCCCAGTTTTCATCATGGCTGCAAATTCATCATAACTGATTCGACCATCCTGCATACGTAGAACAGTAATGTGAGTTTAAAATCAGCCAGATTGAGATTGAGAAGCTAGAGGCAAAATATTGTCTTCACCTTGTCAGTGTCAACCTCTTGGAAAATATCATTTGCTACGTCTGTACAATCATCTGCTCCATCTTCCATCAAGGCATCCCGCAGCTCATCTGGCTCAATGTAACCATTACCATCTTTATCAAAGTATGAGAAAGCTTTGTGAAGATGCTCATCGTTGGCCATCCTTTGGAGATGGAGGGAAATGGCAACAAATTCTTCATAGTCCAAGGTTCCTTTCCCAATAGTATCTACCTGTTGAAACAAAATAAAGCATTCATTCATATATACTTATGTTACACTCTCTTTAGAACTTACGCATTTAGATGAGTTGGTGGTTTAATAGGTATCAAAGCAGGAGGTCCTGTGTTCAAATCTTACCGCCACCCTCATAAATAAAAGATGTCCATGTGCTAGGCCTGGGGCGTGCTGTAATTAAGTTACACTTTTTTTAACAGCTTAAGCTTTTAGAAGAATTTGTGAGAATTTGTGGTTTAAAAAAATATATCCAAAAAGACAATACTAGCGAAATTCATGTACATTGTTGCATAATGACCGGTGAAAAGCATTTCAAAATGAAGGATGTCTATGGAACCAACTACAGCAGGAAAAAATCTCCACAAAACATTCTACCAATTTCTCTCTCTGACATGTAATAGAATTTCCACAACTCCAAGTGGCATTATGAGGCAAAACTCTCTCTCAATTGTATGCAGTATTTAGATGTAATCCAAGGCAATGTAACAGTACGATTGATTAAAGAGAATTATAAGTGACTATTAAGCATACTAGCAAATAAACTCACAGCTTCAATAAGCATCTGCACTTCAGACTCTGCAAGCTGTGAACAGAACTTTTGAAGTCCAGCTTTTAGTTCTTCGATTGAAACAATACCGTCACTGTCAGTGTCTATCTTTTTGAATGTATCCTTGATGCCTTCAACTTCGTCAGTGGACAAGAACTCAGCAATAACCTTGTATAATACAGCAAAATCTCATATTTCCCAAAGAACAGTACCACAAGAAAAACTAGAAAGGTACAGAGCAATCAACTAACCCTCAGGGCCTTTCTCTTGAACCTATTCATCAATGAGAACTGCTTAAGTCTTGACTTCACAATATCTCCAAGTGGAACATTTGGAGCCTTTTTAGCATTTTGGAGCCAAGGATGTTCTGTGGCCAAGGGAATTTACACATTAGACAGAACACAATTCATGGATGTTCAAATGCTACACCCACTATCCAACTTCTAAGTTTCAGCCTGGATTAAAACACATCATACATGGCTTTGCATAGAGCAGGACACAAAAATATAAATACAAATATATATTTCATTTGCAATAATCCCACATCCCCAAATTAAATCCCAAGGAATCTAAGCCACATGGAAAGCTAATATCTTATGGGAGGAATATAAATGATAAAGGCCATTACTTATCACTGGTCCCACCAATGCGGTGTGAAGATGGTAGACTGGAGAAAAACCTGATATGATACTAGTTGAATAATGAAAATAAAAGGGTACAAAAAGGCTCAAGAATAACCAATTAACTACAAAACAGCTGCAGCCTGTCCTACATACGAGTAAATATAAGTGACACACTTTAAGTTATAGAAGGGATGGATGTTGGATGCGACAACCCCTCAAACTCTAAAATTAGGCATAGTTATGTGTTTTGCTGGAATAATCCATGGGATGAGAATTCTTTGGTTTATCAAACTGAAGATTCATTGAAGTTGCTTTTGATATCCAACTCCAGTCTCTAGCACCATGAGCACAGTACTAAACATGTTCTTTCGTACATCGGACAAGTAAGTGGAAGATAAGGAAAACAATCAATGTTAAGGCCCAAATTAACAAGAAAGGGTACAACCTTTTCACACTACACTAGAAGACACATATGTAGATGTTCAAACTAACATCAAGCATTCAAGCCCTTATCATAAAAGAGCAGGCACAGCCTGGATGGAAATGAATACCTATTCTTTTTCCAAAGAAAAAAGGACAGAGCTCAAGTCACTTGACCTAAGTTGCAACAAAGAAATGATATTAAAGACCTTGTATGTACAACTAAAAACCTTACCTGCACCGTTCATTTCCAATAGGGTGCTTTCTAAAAACAAAAGTTTTGTTTTGAGCCCATTTACATTTGCTTTTCCCACGTAGAAGATTCAAAGAAAACATACAAAAAACAGACAACTCAAATATTCAATGGCCCAAAACTTGACCCATCCTTATGACAAGGTAGTAGGTAAATTAGCAAAAAATAGTGTCTTCAATCCCACCCTAAGAAATGGGCAAATGGAGGAAAGAAGCAACAAATTGGACAAGAATATACAACAGAAAAGATAAATTTCAAAACATACCAAATTTTCTAAGATGAAATGCATCCTTAACAAAGAAATATCCAAACAGAAATCAGAGCTAACATACCAATCACTTGTTTCGCTGTTAGTCGCAGCTTCGGATCTGGCTCCAACATGTGACGGACAAGAATCTTAGCACTTTCTGAAATACTTGGCCATGGTTCCCGCTTAAAATCTATTATCCCACGCAGAATGGCCTGTGCAACCCCTTGTTCAGACTCTGCATTAAAAAGCTTGCTTTAGGCAGATGGGGAAGCATTTCCACTTGAAGAACGAAAATAGCAGCCCAAGGGAAATAAAGGACAAAACCTAATAACAGACACATGCTACAAAGGAAACTCATACTCAACAACCCACACATGGGCTCCCATGCACTAATGTTCCAAAAACGTAATCATATACAAATGCTAATACAGAAACTCCAAACACATACTCAGACACAGATGTAGGAAAATACTTACCAGCCCAAAATGGAGGAACACCACACAATAAAATATAAAGGATCACTCCTGCACTCCAAATGTCTATTTCTGGTCCATAGTTCCTCTTGAGCACCTCTGGAGCCATGTAGTATGGGCTTCCAACAATTTCAGAAAACCTCTCACCTAGAATTTAAGATATTAGCATTAGATGACATTGGTAAATAAGAAAGACATCTATATTTACAATTTCAGTGAACCGAATCATTCCCATACTCAGACTAGCAATGTAAAACTTCAGAAAACCATTACTTACCAAATATTACACCTAAATCCCCTGTCAAATTATTCACTAGTTCGCATCCAATTACCATAAATGAGAAGGTAACAAAGAAACAACCAAACGAGACGTCACACTATTCAACATATCACCAATAACTGTATTCCAATTTGTCATTACGAGGAGCATGTTCTCATAAATAACCCTACATGGTGCACATATCACATGCCTAAATCTGGAGACAGTGTAGCCTCACTACAATAGCATGAGATTGTCACAACATACATTATTTTTGCAGTGTCAGAACTTAAAACCATAATGCTATACTGTAGACCTTCCACCAAATTATGTTTTCTCCTCATGGAACTATATTATCATTGCCTATATGAAAGGCATCAGCAGAACTGTTCAACTGCAGTTGAGCACGACTTCGTACAACATGCATGNGCCACCAAATTATGTTTCTCCTCATGGAACTATATTATCATTGCCTATATGGAAGGCATCAGCAGAACTGTTCAACTGCAGTTGAGCACGACTTCGTACAACATGCATGGTGGTGAAAGAAGTACAGCAAGCAATCCCTCACAATTTCAAAACAACCATAAGCTAGTTATCTCCATAATGGCCAACCAGTTTAAGTTGGCTTAAATCCAAATCTTCAAAGTGAGTCCTTGTTTTGTCAAGTATTCAACCATTAAAGCAAATTTATAATTTGTGTCAACATAGAGCTAAGTGTTATCAATCTGCATTTTTGGAGCATCCCACATTGTAAAAGATTTCCAGATCATAACACTAAGTTCATCGATTCACAAAATTCATTCTGATTACTAACCAACAAGCTTTCAAGGAGATAGCTTAATAGAATGTGATACCGCAAGTCAAGAGATTAACATATATAAGTAATGTGCTTTTACATGAATTTCATGCAAATGGAATAGAATTAGACGAGTTGATAAAAATTCCTTGCATTTCAATAATGCAATCTACCATTAATCACCTATTAGTTAAAAGATAACCATTAATTTGGAAGCAGCACCATCATAGCACATTTTGGGTGATGGCATACGACTTTCCTATGCTTGTTTAGCATGTGTTCTCCATGGACATGTTTATGTTGTCCTCAAATAGCAACTGCAACGCTTAAGCCAACTTATGATATATTAACAGTAGTTAGCCATCTTTATTGAGCATAATTTGATAAGGATGCTTATTGGTTAGACTTCTCATTCACATGATGATAGCTTCCATTTTTGTAAGTATCTACAACCTGAGCTAGAAATATGTCAGCAAGGATTGTCCTTCAAGTAAAATGGAGGTGGCAGATACAGACTTGTGCATCCATGTTTCCAATTTCACTAAACAACACCCAAAAAGTTCTTCTAGGGTGAGAGGAAGCTAAACCAAGCGCTATAGTTTTGCACATTTCTTTCTGTCTTGAAGATGAAGGCATTCAGTCTAATGATGAAGAAGTTAGCACAAAAGAGGCGTGATGACTTCAGAATTGATGATGAGTGAGGAGAGGAGATCTCTATTTGTCACTTTCTTTCCAAAATTGATATAATTGCTTGTGTAGTATTGCCCTTCCCAATTGAAGGGTGATATATCTAGTTCTCTGAGCATAAAATCCTAAAGTGTAGGTTAGATCCTTTCCAACTAAAATTCTAGTTAACCTCTTTGTCTCTTCATCTTTTACCATGGAAATATACAATTCCAAAATGGAAAGGTTTTGAGGAGAGGATAGCATGTTGAAGGGGAAGGTTGATGTTGATTAAAAGCCCTTTGACGAGTTGTATAACATCTTTTGTCGTAACCGCAATTGTTATTCCAGATTCGATAGCAAATTGGCTTGAATTGTTGTAGTCGGGACTTCTTTAAGCAAGGCAAGAGGGTGATCTAAAGTATCATATGTTTGAACCAAAGACCATTGGTCTGAATTTGAGGTCCTTACGGTAAATTAACCAAACAGAGCTTTATCTGGGCTGACTAATCGCTAAAACTGAAATTCACTCCAATTGTAGCAGACAAGGGTGGCAGAGAACAGACACTTGGTTATAGTCAAGCATTGCAAGATTGGGAGTTGGAGTTGGGAAACCTTTATCAAGTTGAGGCAAAGGGTGATACAAAGACTAANAAGCATTGCAAGATTGGGAGTTGGAGTTGGAGTTGGGAAACCTTTATCAAGTTGAGGCAAAGGGTGATACAAAGACTAAAGTTGCACAGAACAAGTCAAGGATGGTGGAACTATATGAAGTGGTTGTATTAGGCACTTCTTCATTCCCTCTGAAAAATATAACACAAAATGAAGGCGGCATTATTACCTTGGTCAAGAGCACTTGAAGCAATTCTGACTACTGGTACCCAAAAGAATAGGCCAGGATATGGTGAAGTATCTGTATGGAAGCAAGAAAAGATACTAGTGATTTGCTCGTGGTATTCCATATGCTCCACCATTGGACTACACCTAGAGGGTGTGCACGGAGGACAGTGAGGACAACCTATTGGCAAGGAAGGAGTGAGACATATTTCAGGGGAGAGGAGATACCAAGCCCTAAATTCAAGAAAAAGTAGATGAGTACAATGTGCATTTGGCTTCAAAAGTGCTTGTTATTCTGCAATAATCTTTAGTTCTTCAGCGTAAGTTTTAGGAGACATTGCATTCAATGTCCATACTCCATTCACTTGCACTTACTCGGGTTGCACATTCCTTTTGGCACTTTTTAGTGGATTCTTTATCATGTACCATGGAATGAAAAATAAAATGATTTGTACATTGGTCAGTACATATTAATGGAACATTCAGGTTCAGAACATTTCAAATACTGTAGCATGAACAACAGAAACTTGACCGCATTAGAACTCCATGCGCCTTAATGACCATGCAAAACTACTCTAACTCAGCATACCAGAAGCACGAGATCTTGAGCCAGTATACCTATCTTAACACTGCGCATTAATATCTAAGGAACCATACTTCAGACAAACATAAGTGACATTTATGTTCGGAACAGTCAGCAAACACAGCTGAACAAGTAATCACATTCTTCTTTTACCAATAGGCTATGTATGGGGAGACAATTCGAATTATTTACCTGGCTTGAAGAAGATTGACAACCCAAAATCAATGGCTTTCAAAGGCGAATTCTCCTTCTTATTCGCAAACAAAAAGTTCTCCGGCTTCAAGTCCCTGTGGATTACTCCATGCTTGTGACAGAGCTGCACGACCTCCACAATCGTCCTTGTAACCGCCGCCGCTGCCCGCTCCGTGTAATGCCCTCGCGCGACAATCCGATCAAATAATTCGCCGCCCTCGCACAGCTCCATCACCAAATGTACCGCATTATCGTCCTCGCACGCCTCCTTCAGGCTCACAATGCTCGAATTCTTCGGCAAATGCTTCATAATGGCCACCTCTCGTCTCACATCATCCACATCCACTGCCGTCCGAAGCTTCCGCTTTGAAATCGACTTACAAGCCAGTAACTCCCGCGAATCGCGATCGATGCACAAATACGTCACTCCGAACTCACCACGACCGAGCTCTCTATCAACCACATACTTTTCCTCAATATTTTTCCCCGATACATCGTTTAACACAGTGATCGCCTTTTTCCCAGCGCCGGCACCGGCAGCCTTGTCTTTTCGAGCGTCACCGTGTCCGGAAAAGTTTGATGACTTTACGTCTTCTCTGGCAACGGCAGCCGGAGATCTGCAACAATTTCCCATGAAATCGAGTCCAGATTTGAACAGAAATGAAGCTCCCAAACCCTAACCCTCACTCAAGCTAGGGCTTCACATAGTAGAAACACTAAAATTATGAGTCCATTGAGTGGAGAAGAGGTAGAAGAAGTACAGCTGTGGAAGCAAAATGTGACTGTTGATTTGTAGAGAATGTGCCTGTGAGTGAGTGAGTGAGTGAGAGAAGAAAGTTTTTCGCTACTGGAGTTGTACGGTAACGGCTCAGATGGCTTTGTAGAATGAGAATAATTATGATTTTTTATTTCAAGAAAGAAAGTGTGTGTGTGTGTGTGTGTGT